TCGTGTCGTGTCGTGTCGTGTCGTGTCGTGTCGTGTCGTGTCGTGTCGTGTCGTGTCGTGTCGTGTCGTGTCGTGTCGTGTCGTGTCGTGTCGTGTCGTGTCGTGTCGTGTCGTGTCGTGTCGTGTCGTGTCACGGGTGTGGCTGGCTTGTCACTGAATCCTGCAGTGGCAAGTGCGAGAGATGGCCTGCCGCACGCTGGCCTGGTTCCGCAACGAAATCGCCGTCCATCACCGTTTCTCGAGACCATTCTCAGGCCAGTACGGTCCTGCGTTCGTGGCCGCGTGCGCCAAGCTCTTGCAGACCGGCCCCACCGCAGACAGCAACCAAATTCAGGTACCCCCCACGCTTCAACGATCAATCGAAGTTGCAACAAAGGCGCTGACACTGGTGGCGACGATGGCGATGGCGATGGCGATGGCGATGGCGTCGTGTGGTGCAACACAGTTGCAAACCGACCTCTTGATGCTCCTCGCCTTAGTGCTGGAGGGCGACTGTGATGTGTTTGGCACGCTCCCTCCGCGCAGGATCATCGCTTTCGCTTCGTCATTGCTCTCGGTATCTCGCCGCTTACACACTCACACTTACGCGCACTTACCTCTACCTGGCAAGGCGGCCTCACTCCACACTTTGTTTTTAACGCTTGTCGTGTGCGTGTCGTGTTGTGTGCGCCATCTTGCAGTGGGAGTTGAAGGAAGAGGCAAAGAAAAAGAAAAAGAAGAGCGAGGACGAAGGCTCGATCGATATACCTTCGAGCCACTTCGCAGTGTCGGAGCTGCTGCACCATTTGCTGTCCACGTGCGACCCGGCAGACTTCGAGGGTGCCTTGCCCCAGCTCAGGTCCGTGATCACCGCGTCGTGCCTGCCCAGCTTGCCCGACTCTCCACTCATGGAGGAATTAGCCATCGAGGAGTTAATCAGTGAGTTCACCCATCACCTTGTTTCTTGTTCTGTCTTCGACGCTTAGCTGATGTGTGGTGCGCGAATTGAAGGAGCGGTTGGAGAGCGAGATTAGCCCCCAGCTCGATCGCTTACCTCTACATCCCGGAGCCAACAGCGCCCTGGCACCGCGCAAGTCTTTGGACAGTATTAAATACTAAATAACTAATTAGAGACTACTGTTGAGGCCCAGTTTGCATTCCAGCTCTTCTGCACTCATTGTTCTCAATCAGGTGCAGTCACAATCAGGTGTGACTGGCTTCCCTTCATGTGTCCAGACTTTTGCTTACAAATTGTTTATTGTCTGGAGAATAAAAGCCCCTGTTCCTTGATGTGGCTGCCATGGTGAAGACTTGCACCTTGTAGGATGCTGGCCAGGATCTCCAGGTGGCCCATTGCTCAGCCAATCAAAGGGATACTGGCCAGGAAGACCGACCAGGCGCCATTGGCTAGGACTGGTCGCCTCCTGCCAAAAGCAGAAAGAGGCTTTAAAAGGCAAAGAAAGTAAAATTCCGACGAAAAAAAGCTGCAGGGGATGAGACGAGTTTTCTTTGGCTTCGCGCAGGCGAAGATGAAGATGAAGGCGTCAAGGGTGTCCTTGACCTTTCTTCGGTCTTTACCGCTGCGCGCACCCACAAGAACGAGGAAAGGCTTCCCAAGTTCTCCTGCCATTGTTTTCGAGCAAGTCAATTTTGAATCTCGGCATCGGGTGCGTCTCATCTGGTGATTTTTTCTCTTTTTGTTTTGCAACAAAGCTTTTGGTTGATGTTCTCCAGTTGTGCAGAAGTAAAAGATGATAGAAGAGGACAAAATCAAGAAGCGGCTGGCCAAGGCGCCGGTCTTCCGGAAGATCAAGAAGAAGCGCGACCAGGTGAAGCACCGCGAGGGTACGAGGGAGGACTACCCGCCGATCCACCTCAACGAACCCGAGCGCAACGCCAAGAAGGAGAACCGCTTCCCGTCGAACGTCATCACCACCTCCAAGTACACCCTGTGGAGCTTCATTCCGCTCGTGCTCTGGTCTCAGTACCGACGCGCCACGACCATCTACTTCACCCTCATCTTTGCCATCACCGCCATTCCTGCGTACGCAGTCCTCCTCCTGCTCCATTCCCGTGCGTGTCGTAGTGTCGTGCGTGTGCGGTTGTGCGTGTGCGGTGGTGCGTGTGCCTCAGCAGAGACGAAAGAGTGCCATTAACGCACTCCACTCGTGGTGGATGGCGAGTGCAGCGTTTCGCCGATCACGCCGTGGACGGGCCTCCTCGGTTTGCTGTTCATTCTTGTGGTGTCCGCCGTGCGCGAGGGATGGGAAGACGTGGTACGCAGTAGAACGAGATCTGCGTGTGCTGTGCATTGGCGCGTGTGATCTGGGGGTGCAGCTACAGCGACTGAGACGGCCAAACTGTCCTTTGGTCTCAGTTGCGGCACAGGGCCGACAAGAAGGTGAATGATCGTGAATATTGCTTCGTCAAGCAGAGTGGAGCTCTTAAGAATGTGAAGAGGTGAGTTAGTGGTGTAACCATCGCAGTGCACCGCTACGCAACACACACACACATGACGACGACGACACACTCACCTCGTGATGTCTGCGCGCAGTCGTGATTTGCATGTGGGCGATTTTGTCTACGTGGAAGCCAACGAGGCCATCCCCGCCGACATGGTCCTGCTTCTCAGCTCGAACGAAGAGGGTATCGCGTACATGGAAACCTCCCAGCTGGACGGGTACGCCAATGTCTTCCCCAGTGAGTGTGCTCTGTCGTTTGTGTTGCGTGTGTCGTGTGGTGCCGCCTCTTACCATTCCTCCGCAGAGAGACGAATCTTAAGCAGCGCAAGGTGCCGCCGGTGACTGCAGGGAAGACGAAGGAGGAGCTGACCGACCTCAGCGGCGTGCTGAAGTGCGAGAAGCCCAACCACATCCTCTACTCCTTCAAGGGTACTACAAGTTCTCTTCTTGATCGAACTACCCCCCTTCGGGCAAGCCAAGGCTTAGGCCTACGCCTTTCCTGCGTGTGTCTATTCCGTCGTGCCTGCAGGAACTCTCGAGATTGAGGGCGAGGATGCCGCGCCGTTGGACAAACAAAACCTGCTCTTGCAGGTCCGTGTTATATCGTCATGTCTGTGCCATGTCTCATTTATTTCTCACATGTGCTCTTCTTCGTGTCCCACACCCACCACCACCCCCACCCTCCTACCAATGTAGAATGCCTACCTGAGGAACGTCAAGTGGGTCGTCGGTCTTGTCGGTACCTGCCTACTACTTGCCCGCAGGCAGCCATGCCTCACCCGGCCTACTCATTCGTTCTTGTTCTTGTTCTTGTTCTTGCAGCCTACGCGGGACCGGAGACAAAGCTCAGCCTCAACCAGCGGGAACCGCCGTTCAAGATCTCTTCGCTGGACAAGCGGTGCGTTACCCGTGCAAGCTTATAGAGCTCCATCCCCCAGCGCGCGGTTGGTTGTTTGCCTGCGATTTGCCTGCGATTGCTCACACTCGCCGGCGTGCCGGTGTCTTCTCTAGATTGAACGCGTACGTGCTGGTGATCTTCCTGCTCGATCTCGCCATCTGCGTCGGGCTTTCCGTCCTCAGCGGCTTCTTCGAGTACAAATACGCGACGCACAACTACTACCTCACTGTACGCGAACCACCGCACACACGCACCACCGCGCACGCGCACACGACTCACTCGAAAAGCTGTAATTTGGCCAGACTGACCCGAGCGGCTACTGGATGGTGGCGCTCAAGCGCTTCGCCTCTTATTTCGCCCTGCTCAGCTTCCTCATCCCTCTGTCCCTCGTCGTGTCGCTCGAGGTCGTCAAGGTACACTCGAGTGCCCCCCCCCGACCTCCATTGCACAGTATACTTAAACACGGTGATGGTGCATATGCGCGCGGGGTGCGTGGCATCATCAGGTGATCCAATCGCGATTCATGGAGTGGGACAAGGAGCTGTCGACCAAGGACGGTCGGATGACCGCCCGCACGTCGACGCTGACCGACGAGCTCGCCCTGGTACACACTGCAAACACCCCTCCTCATCCGCCCCACACAAACCGCACGCCGCGAGTTTTTATCCTCATTTTAATCGCGCGTGTGCGTGTGCAGGTCAAGTACGTGTTCTGCGACAAGACCGGTACGCTCACGGAGAACGTGATGAAGTTCAAGCAGTGCTCCATTCGGGGCCGCCTCTACGAGGACGCCGAAGAGGACCACCTCCAGCACGCCTTGGTGCGTGTCGTTGGTGTCGTTCCATGCGTGTCGTGTGTGGTGCGTGTCGTGTTCAGTTGAGCTGACTGGCCGGACGTGCAGGAGGACGCGGACAAGGAGGAGGCAGAGGACGTGGAGAACTTCCTGCGGTGCTTGGCCCTGTGCCACTCGGCCATCCCCGATTCCAAGGAGCAGCGGGAGAGGGAGGAGGCCAACGACGCCAAAGCCGACGGCGACAAGAATGTCGGCAAGAATGCTGACAAGGACGAGGCCGCCCTGCGCGCAAAGAACGGGGACAAGGGCAAGGACAAGAACGAAGGCGAAGACGAGACGAAGAAGCAGGAGAAAGAAAAGGAAAAAAGCGAGGAGAAGAAATTGAAGAAGAACAGGAAGATGAAGAAGAAGCGCAGCAAGAGGGATCGAGAAGAGGACGAACACGACGCGAGGGACCGCGATGAAGATGAAGGCGACGAAGAGGACGAAAAGGAAGAAGATGAGGATGCCATCGACTACAAGGCGTCGTCGCCCGACGAGG